GTCTGAACCAAACAAAAACAAGTTTCTTTGTCTACAATGACTTCTTGACGCATTTCAAATGTTACTTGAAATAAACCTTTCGTCACGAAGTTTCTTAAAATCCAGGCAAAGATCATAAAAATTTCAAAAATGTCCAAAAATTATACTCGCTTTACTTCTAAAACAAAAATATAGCCGGTAAAAATCCTAAAATACATTATCCTGCAGTTCTCTCTTCCAAAAGTAATCAAGTAGTAAAGGAAACCTAGTCCTTATTAAGTAAAAGACTCTTTGAAAAAGACCATCAACTAAAATTCGCCCTTTTAAACATCAGAAGTCCACAAAAAGCTAACTTCCAAAGAGAATTTCGAAAAATTATGTCAGGCTAGAAGACACACACGATCAGTGGCAAAACCAAAAATTCAAAAAAAATAATTCCGTCTAAATATGATTGCATTGATCAGAGAACATTTCTTAGGAGTGAGATATTTTTATCAACAACAACAAGTTCCCGAAGTGCAGAAAGTTAGACAAGATAAAGGACCTAGAGTACTGAGACGAAACCCACCAATCTTACAGCACCGAACAAATCCTAAAAAATTTCACCCTTTGAAGCAAAGGGAAGAGTAACGTTTTCTGGTAAAAAATGGCAAGGAAGGCATTTCAAACAACGTTTATTCCGACAACTACAAGTTTTTGACTTTTTTGCATTCTAAACTTCGTTCATCGCTGCTAAAAAGACGTTCATTTAATATTGGTATCCTCACTAATAAGATTATCCTAAAAAGTACTGATATCCACTTTAATTTCTGATTGCTATAAGAAAATTGATATCTATTAACTAACTAAAAACTGATTAGATGCTTAACATTTTCTTCAACATTCCTTCCCATTCTGTTTCATTTTCCGTTTGCAGCCATATTTTTCTTCGTTACCTAAAAAATTATTACGACTTGAACCAGGTATCGCTTGGGAAGCAAAATGGGGTTTAGTTATAATTCTATTTCGCAAGTCTTCATTAATACCACTTAACCAAATATGTCAGCCTTTTGCACACTTGCAAACCATGTTCTGTTCTATTTTCAACAGCATTGAGTCAGGATTTAAAATCCAAAAATAAAGAAATAGTCTATCTGAATTTCTGATACCTTAACGCAATGAGAGTTAAGAAAATTAAAAGAAGCTGAACAACTCACTCTTGCCAGCTCCTCCACTTTAAACAGAAAGAAAGCATCAAATCCCTCAAAACATTCTTGGTTCAAAAAAAAAAAATTATAACTACTAAGAAATGTTGTTTTTAATAAATACGAAAAGTATCATAGAAGTAGAAGAAGAACCTATTCGGTTGATTTGAGGAAGGAAAATTAAAGCATGGTACACAACCGGACACCAGTGAAGTGTATGTAGAAAAAAGCGAAAAATTAGCAAGAGTTAAAAGGAAAATTTTGGAAGTCAACTAGAAAATCTGACATCAAAAAATCTATTTTCTCCGCAAAAATTATAATTATTTTATCCAAAAAAAGACTTCAAGCCTGAACTTAAGGTTCTTTTTACGACTGCTGCACCAACACTAGTAAGAAGTTCTTAAAATTGGCGTAAATTTGGTAAAAGTTTATTAATTTCTTGCTTTCAGCAAAATTTTTTCTATTCATTATTTGTTCAAACAGATTCTTTAATACATTCCACTCTTGGCGTACATCAGATCCACATAATTCACTTTCGATTTGTCTGAAATTTTACGGCTGCTGGTGAAATAATTAGTAGAACACACAATTAAGGAGGAAAAGTACAATCCCAGGGCAGCACATAATAGTCCTAACATATCTTTCAAGCTAAACGCAGTTCCAGTTAAACAGCACAGCACATTCTGATATCTGACAAAAAAAGCCACTAAAAAACGAAAACGAAATGTTGAAAAGTCGTATATTACTTGGCGAACACATCCTGCAGAAAGCGTAGCTAACCACAAAGGCGAGAATAGTCCAAGAGTGCAAAAAATGTAAGAAACGACCCCGAGTCCAGAAAAAATAAAACCCAATTTAAACTACGTTGAACCTAATACACGAAGTGGCTGAATTACGGAAGATTTTTTCACTAACAAAAAAGTTTCAGGAAAAGTCAAATCAACTAGCTGCCTCAAAGATGAAGTGTGAAGTTTTACGAAATCTCGAACAAATTTTATAACAATATTGACTCCATCAAAGTTTGATGCGTCAACTTACATAACCGATCTACAATCGCAAAGAAATGAAATAGCTACAAAAGTCTCGACATGAAAACAACAGATGATCTTGAAAGGACCCACAAATATGCCCTTTTCCCGGAATGGCTAGATTTAACTGCGAATATTTCGACAACACTGGTGATATATGTGGCAAGTATGGCTTACTCAGGAAGTCCGCAATAAAAAGACAAAGATAAAATGCAGAAAAGAGAAGAACAC